AAGACAAACCATGGAATTCCTGGGTGTTTCTCCCCTTTATTTCCTCCAGGACAAACCATGGAATTCCTGTTTCTCTCTTTATTTTAAATTTCTCCAGGACAAACCATGGAATTCCTATTTCTCCCTTTATTTTAAATTTTTCCAGGACAAACCATGGAATTCCTGGGTGCTTTTCCCCTTTATTTTCATTTTTCCAGGACAAACCATGGAATTCCTGGGTACTTTTCCCTTTATTTTACTTTTTCCAGGACAAACCATAGAATTCCTGTTTCTCCCTTTATTTTAAATTTCTCCAGGACAAACCATGGAATTCCTGGGTGCTTTTCCATTTATTTTCTCCAGGACAAACCATGGAATTCCTTGGTGTTTCTCCCTTTATTTTAAATTTCTCCAAGACAAACCATAGAATTCCTGGGTGTTTCTCCCCTTTATTTCCTCCAGGACAAACCATGGAATTCCTGGGTGTTTCTCCTCTTTATTTTAATTTCCTCCAGGACAAACCATGGAATTCCTGGCTGCTTTTCCCTTTTATTTCCATTTTTCCAGGACAAACCATGGAATTCCTGTGTGCTTTCCCCCTTTATTTTCATTTTCTCCAGTCCAAAGGCAATAAACAATAATTTTCTCTTTAATCGAGGCAGATCCAACCGAGGTGTGACAATTCCATCCAAACCACCCGTTTTTCCTCCCTGTTTTTCCTGGAATTCCCATGAAATCCCAGCGCTCTGGGATGTTCCCATGGGCTGTGTTTCACTTTTGGGAGAGCAGTTACACGATTACCATCCCACAATGGAAGTGTCAGCAGAGCCTGACTCCATCTGGATCAACAGGTGCCAATTCCATGGCATTTTCCTTCCAAAGCCATTCCCCTCCTTGGCACCTTCCCAAAAATCCAGGGAGATGTTTTTAACCCTGTGGAGGCTGCCTGTGATTATGGGGATTTGTTATTTTTGGGGTTTTTTTAATAGATTTTAATATTTTTTTTTTTTAAAAAAAAAATATTCGAATTGTTTTCCATTTTTTTACAAGTATTTTAATGGTGATTTTAATTATGATAATTTTCTCCAGGATAAAATGTGGAATTCCTGGGTGTTTCTCCCCTTTATTTTCATTTTTCCAGGACAAACCATGGAATTCCTGGGTGCTTTTCTCCTTTATTTTCTCCAGGACAAACCATGGAATTCCTGGGTGCTCTTTCCCTTTATTTTAATCCAGTACAAACCATAGAATTCCTGTTTCTCCCCTTTATTTTCATTTTCTCCAGAACAAACTGTGGAATTCCTGGGTGCTTTTCCCTTTATTTTATCCAGGACAAACCATGGAATTCCTGTTTCTCCCTTTATTTTAAATTTCTCCAGGACAAACCATGGAATTCCTGGCTGCTTTTCCCCTTTATTTTCATTTTCTCCAGGACAAACCATGGAATTCCTGGGTACTTTTCCCTTTATTTTACTTTTTCCAGGACAAACCATGGAATTCCTGTTTCTCCCTTTATTTTAAATTTCTCCAGGACAAACCATGGAATTCCTGGGTGGCCATGGGTGGGATAGACCCTCTGCTCTTCCCACCCCTCATTACACAGGGGAAGCCACCCCTCATTACACAGGGGAAGAAACAACTTCCAATAATTCATTATTCAAGTTATTATTATTATTATTATTATTATTATTATTATTATTATTACTATTATTTCAATAAGTTATTATCAGTTATCCCTCCTGACACCTCCTGAGCTGAGCTCTGCCTTTCCACACACGCCCTCCTCCCAAAACCAGCTGCACTCCCCCCCAAAAAAAATCCTCTGGGTGCTTAAATATCGAAAAAACCAAACCAAACCTCTTTAAATGCAAAGACTGGGTGGAGATGTTCCGCTTGGAATTGTGGAATTCCAGAGTGGAAAAGCTCCAAGCCCATCCAGACACTTCTCCCTGTCCCAGGCTGCTCCCAGCACTGCCAGGGCCTCCCCAGCCTCACTGGGAGGATTTTTTACCCCAAAATCCTTTCCCAAATCCATTTTTCCATCTGTAAAAGCGGAGCAGTGGATGGGAAATGGCATCGTGGAATGGTTTGGGTGGGAAGGGACCCCAAAACCACCTCCTGCTGTCCCCCAGATGCTTCCCTGGACAAATCCTGTAGGAACAGAACTGGAATTATCCCCACAAAACCCACTCTGGAAATTCACATCCCTTTATTTTTCTCTTCACAAATACCAAAAATTGAAACCTTCCCAAAGAACACCTTCCTCCCATCCACCACCAAGACCATCCCTTCCCAAATCCATTTTTCCATCTGTAAAAGCAGGAGCAGTGGATGGGAAATGGCATCATGGAATGGTTTGGGTGGGAAGGGACCCCAAGATCTTCCCTGGACAAATCCTGTAGGAACAGAACTGGAATTATCCCCACAAAACCCACTCTGGAAATTCACATCCCTTTATTTTTCTCTTCACAAATACCAAAAATTGAAACCTTCCCAAAGAACACCTTCCTCCCATCCACCACCAAGATCATCCCTTCCCAAATCCATTTTTCCATCTGTAAAAGAGGAGCAGTGGATGGGAAATGGCATCATGGAATGGTTTGGGTGGGAAGGGACCCCAAAACCACCTCCTGCTGTCCCCCAGATGCTTCCCTGGACAAATCCTGCACAAAAAGAACTGGAATTATCCCCACAAAACCCACTCTGGAAATTCAAATTCCTTTTTTTTTTCCCTTCACAAATACCAAAAATTGAAACCTTCCCAAAGAACACCTTCCTCCCATCCACCACCAAGACCATCCCTTTAATCCCCAATGGACTGAACAAAGAATTCTGTGGCATTTTCCTTAAGGAAAAGGAACATTTTCCCTATGGAAAGGGAGGCCCAGCACATTTTTAATTCTCTGAAGGGTTCCAGGAGCAGAGGCTCCCTGAGAACCCCAGGAAGCTTCTCCCCGCTGTGAGACCTCGGGGATTGTTTTCCACACCTCCTTCACTTCACACTCCGCCTGCTAAAGCCCTTTTCGTGTTTGCTAATCCCCTCCAGACATAATTGGGGAAGTCAGCGACTGCAGCCGAGTGTTACAAATTTCTCCAGGAGCTCCCATTCCTCCAGCAACTTCCAGCTTTTCCCTGGATCCTGCCCTGGTGTCCTCCACACAATCCCACTTTTCCATGCTGTCAGAAAATCCTGCTAAGTTCCAATCCAGTGTTTTCTGTGCTCTCCCAACCCTTCCCTGACAGTATTTCCTGCTGTGGGTGCATTTCCTGCCGGGAATTTTGTCAATATTCCCAAATCCACAGGTACAGATGATGTTATTAGAAGTTTATGTGATATCCAGATATAAAAATGATATCAAAGGAGCTCAGCATCCTCTGCCTGCATCCCTCAGGAGAGGAGGAGGAGGAGACTGAAGGAATTTTTTACCATAAAACAACTGAAGGAATTTTTTACCATAACAAAACTGAAGGAATTTTTCCCCCATAACAAAACTGAAGGAATTTTTTACCATAAAAAACTGAAGGAGGTTTTTTTTCCCCATAAAACAACTGAAGGAGTTTTCCCCTATAACAAAACTGAAGGAATTTTTTACCATAAAACAACTGAAGGAATTTTCCCCCATAACAAAACTGAAGGAATTTTTTACCCATAACAAAACTGAAGGAATTTTTTACCATAACACAACTGAAGGAATTTCTTCACCATAACAAAACTGGAAGAACTTTTCCCCCCATAACACAACTGAAGGAATTTTTCCCCCTATAACACAACTGAAGGAATTTTTTCCCCCATAACAAAACTGGAAGCATTTTTCCCCATAAAACAACTGAAGAAATTTCTTTATCATAACACAACTGAAGGAATTTTTTACCTTAACAAAACTGGAAGAATTTTCCCCCATAAAACAACTGAAGGAACTTTTCCCCCCACAACACAACTGAAGAAATTCTTCCCCCATAACACAACTGAGTTTTTCCCAATAAAACAACTGAAGGAATTTCTTTACCATAACAAAACTGAAGGAATTTTTTACCATAACAAAACTGGAAGATTTTTCCCCATAACAAAACTGAAGGAATTATTCCCCATAAAACAACTGAAGGAATTTTTTACCATAACACAATTGAAGGAGTTTTTCCCCATAAAACAACTGAAATAATTTTCCCCCCTATAACACAACTTAAAGAATTTTTTACCATAACACAACTGAAGGAATTTCTTCACCATAAAACAACTGAAGGAGGTTTTCCCAATAAAACAACTGAAGGAATTTTTTACCATAAAACAACTAAAGGAATTTTTCTCCCCATAACAAAACTGAAAGAATTTTTCCCCATAACACAACTGAAGGAATTTTACCCCGTAACAAAACTGAAGGAATTTCTCCCCTATAACACAACTGAAGGAATATTTCCCCATAACACAACTGAAGGAATTCTTCCCCATAACAAAACTGAAGGAATTTTTCCCCCATAACAAAACTGAAGGAATTATTCCCCCATAAAACAACTGAAGGAATTTTTCCCCATAACACAACTGAAGGAATTTTCCCCATAACACAACTGAAGGAATTTTTCCCCATAACAAAACTGAAGGAATTTTCCCCCATAACAAAACTGAAGGAATTTTCCCCCATAAAACAACTGAAGGAATTTCTCCCCTATAACACAACTGAAGGAATTTCTCCCCTATAACACAACTGAAGGAATTTTTCCCCCATAACAAAACTGAAGGAATTTTCCCCCATAAAACAACTGAAGGAATTTCTCCCCTATAACACAACTGAAGGAATTTTTCCCCATAACAAAACTGAAGGAATTTCTTCCCTGTAACAAAACTGAAGGAATCTTTCCCCCACAACTGCCATCGACGAGAGCCAGCCAGGAATTGAGATAAGGAATTCTGTGCTTCCAGAGGTAGGGCTGAGCTTATCAAACCATGACATCATTTTGTTATCAGAGCTGTTGGGCTGCTGGCAGCAGCTCCCAGAGGCAGAAACGAAACCAAGCAGGGCTCCTACCTTCGTCTCCTTCCGGGGCGTAGGACGCGGTGATGATGTCGATGTCGGCGCAGTTCATCACGATTTGGTTGGTTGCATTTTTTACCTGGAAGAGAAACTCCGTCAGCATCAGGAAGAAATGGGAATTCCAACATCTCATCCATCTAAAAACCACCTCCAGCAGCAGCTGTTTGAGGGAGAATCGGGGTGCTTGGGATGGTGAAGGAGAACGGGGCATTCCGCTCCCATGGAATAAACACTGAATAAATAATTCCACTGGGAATTATTTCATGCTGGGTAAAAAAAACCAGAGCTGAAAACTTCCCAATTCCTCCTGCAGGCCTGGGAATGCAAACCCAATAAAAACCCATGGGGATGGCCTAAAGGGACACCAGAGTGAAAATCTCTTTTGGAGACCATCACCAACTCAACCTCTGGGTGTGCTCCACGCTGTCAGCTTAAAAAAAACATCTGCCAGGAGATTTTCCTTCCCCTTTTCCTGGGAGTTTCCCTTCTGCCAGCTCTTGGCTCCACACATTTTGCTTTATTTACCAAGTGCCAGCTCCCAGCGTAGGAATAAACCGTGGGGCTGTGCCAGTTCTCTGTTTGAATGCGAGAGCCTGAATACAGAGGAATTCAAATTAAATATAAATTAATTACGAAGAGGGTAAAATATTTGGGAGTTAAATCGGAAATTTGTGGCTGGAAGCACCAGAATGATCAGGCTGGATCAAGCTGGGAATCCTGCTTGTCCAGGATAGGATTTCTAGCAGGAAAAAACAAGTTTCTTAAATAAAGGAGTAAAAATTTCTGTGACAGGCGATCAGATTCAACACAGGCACGAAGAAACTGATTCCTACCCTAGAATCAGCTCATTAAAACCTAAAAAACTTCTTTTTTTTCCCTTTTCCCCATTATTATAACCTTAAAATTCCCTGTCAACACCTGGAGCCAGCATTCCAGGTATCCCCACTGGATCCTCCGGGATCTCAGAGCAGGGAGGACAAGGAGAGAGCCCAGAGGGGATCAGAGGGATGGAGCAGCTCTGCCGGGAGGAAAAGCTGGGAAAAGCAGGATTGTTCAACCTGGAGATGAAAAGGTTTAGGGATAAGCTGGGTTTTGGTCTCTCAGCACCCAAAAGGAGGCAGGAAGGAAAATGGGATGAATTTCCAAAGGCCTGGAATGGCAGGAAAAGGGGGAATTAAACTAGCGGAGGATGGGGTTGGGTGGGAGATGAAGGAGGAATCCTGGGAGGGTGGGGATGAAGGAGGAATCCTGGGAGGGTGGGGATGGATTTTCCATTCCCAGGGATGGATTTCCCATTCCAAGGGATGGATTTCCCATTCCCAGGGATGGATTTCCCATTCCCAGGGATGGATTTCCCATTCCCAGGGATGGATTTCCCATTCCCAGGGGTGGATTTTCCTTTTCTAGGGATGGATTTCCCATTCCAAGGGATGGAATTCCCATTCCCTGGGATGGAATTCCCATTCTCAGGGATGGATTTCCCAATTCCCTGGGATGGATTCCCCATTCCAAGGGATGGATTTCCCATTCCCTGGGATGGATTTCCCATTCCCAGGGATGGATTTCTCATTCCCTGGGATAGAATTCTCATTCTCAGGGATGGATTTCCCATTCCAAGGGATGGATTTCCCATTCCCTGGGATGGATTTTCCATTCCCAGGGATGGATTTCCCATTCCCAGGGATGGAATTCCCATTCCCAGGGATGGAATTCCCAATTCCCAGGGACGGATTTCCCATTCCCAGGGATGGATTTCCCATTCCAAGGGATGGAATTCCCATTCCCTGGGATGGATTTCCCATTCCAAGGGATGGAATTCCCATTCCCAGGGATGGATTTTCCTTTCCTAGGGATGGATTTCCCAATTCCCAGGGATGGATTTCCCATTCCCAGGGATGGATTTCCCATTCTCAGGGATGGAATTCCCATTCCCAGGGATGGATTTCCCATTCCCAGGGATGGATTTTCCTTTTCTAGGGATGGATTTTCCCATTCCCTGGGATGGATTTCCCATTCCCTGGGATGGATTTTCCATTCCAAGGTATGGATTTCCCATTCCCAGGGAAGCTGTGGATGCCCCTGGATCCCTGGAATTGTCCATGGAAGAACCCTGGGCCAGCAGGAGATGGCAGGGTGGGACTGGATGGGATCTGAGATCCCAAATCCCATGGAAATCCCAAATAATTCCACAATTCCTCTGTGCCACCTCACCTCCCAGGCAAATCGTTATCTAATGATCCAGCTAATCATCGATATCATCAATTAGATAATCAATGATATCATTAGCTAATCACAAATCATTTTATTTGGTTTCTAAAGGCACAAGAAAAGGCTCAGGTCACTTCCCCCTGCACCATCAGAGAATAAATAAGAGATTAAATAATGTGCTAGGAATAAATAAGAGAATAAAAATATCCCAGGAATAATCAAGAATAAATAAGAGAATAAATAATATACCAGAAATAAATAAGAATATATAAAATAATAAAAAATATACCAGGAATAAATAAGAGATTAAATAATATGCCAGGAATAAACAAGAATAAATAAGAGAATAAACAATATACCAGGAATAAATAAGAGATTAAATAATATGCCAGGAATAAACAAGAATAAATAAGAGAATAAACAATATACCAGGAATAAATAAGAGAATAAAAAATATGCCAGGAATAAACAAGAATAAATAAGGGAATAAACAATATACCAGGAATAAATAAGAGAATAAAAAATATGCCAGGAATAATCAAGAATAAATAAGAGATTAAATAATATACCAGGAATAAATAAGAAAATAAAAAATATGCCAGGAATAATCGAGAATAAATAATATGCCAGGAATAAATAAGAATAAATAAGCCAGGAATGGTTCCTTGGTCACCTGGGACAGAAAAACCAAAGTTTTTTCATGGATAAAGGAGTTTTTTAAAGTTTTTTTCCACCTGGGACAGAAAAACCAAAGTTTTTTCATGGAAAAGGGAGGATGAAGAAATTGCAATTTGTGATTTAATGGGTGTTCCCACATTCCCAAGGATTCATCCAGGAATTTCTTCTTGACCTCTCCGACCTAACAAATATCCCTGGCTCATCCCCAGTGATGGAATTGTTTCATTAATAAATATTAATTGTATTAATCTAATTAATAAATATAAATATTATGGGACATGTTACTATAAAATATTATCTTTTATAAATATATTTATATATTATATATTATAACATTTAGAATATAAAAATTTATATAATATTTATATTAAATTATATTTATATTAATATTTATAATATAATAATTATATATTGTAATATATTATTAATGTATTTATATATTATAAATATACTATATATTATAAAAATTATATAAAATAAATATAACATACATTATAATATATAATATATATAAAATTATAAAAATATACAATATTTTTCTGAGCACAAGAAACTGAAAAATCAACCCCCAAACCCAAAAAATCAAAGCTCAATTTTTTTCCCATAATTTGTGTTTTTTTTCAAGGTTTTTCTAAAACACAGAAAAAAAAAAAAAAATCAGGATGAGAAAAGTTTTTTTATAAATGTCTGGAGACCTTTATTCAATCTATAAATCCAAATCTCTCTGGATTTGGAGCTGTCCAAATTGCAGACAATGTGAATTTAACAATGGGCTTGATCTTAAAAAAAAAACAACTTTTTCCAGGACAAAACTTTCAGTGGAGCACTGAGCCTGAAAAATAAGAAATTTAGGTTTAAGCAGAGAAAAATCCTGCTCCTTAAACAGAATTACCTATTCTGTTACCAATTATTCAATTGGTATTGTTATTTTATATATTATAAATTGTTTATAAACAATAATTTATTATTGTTATTCATATTATTATATGAATTGTTATTTAATTACCTATTTTTAGATATTTTTTTCTTTATTTCCTACCAATATCAAGCCAGTTTTATGAGGGAAGAGTTGGAGAAAATATCTAGAATGAGCCAAGATGGTAAAAAAGTTTATTTTCTAAGTGTCCTAAAAAATAAGGGTGAAATTCAGTGTACAAGCAGGAATTCCACCTGGAGAATTCCCCAAAAAAAGGGGTGAAATTCAGTGTACAGGCAGAAATTTTACCTGGAGATCTCCCCAAAATAAGGGTGAAATTCAGTGTACAAGCAGGAATTCCACCTAGAGAATTCCCCCCAAAATAAGGGTGAAATTCAGTGTACAAGCAGGAATTCCACCTAGAGAATTCCCCCAAAATAAGGGTGAAATTCACTGTACAAGCAGGAATTCCACCTAGAGAATTCCCCCAAAAAATGGGTGAAATTCACTGTACAGGCAGGAATTCCACCTAGAGAATTCCCCAAAATAAGGGTGAAATTCAGTGTACAAGCAGGAATTCCACCTAGAGAATTCCCCCAAAATAAGGGTGAAATTCAGTGTACAGGCAGGAATTCCACCTAGAGAATTCCCCCAAAATAAGGGTGAAATTCAGTGTACAGGCAGGAATTCCACCTAGAGAATTCCCCACAAAAAATGGGTGAAATTCACTGTACAAGCAGGAATTCCACCTAAAGAATTCCCCCAAAATAAGGGTGAAATTCAGTGTACAAGCAGGAATTCCACCTAGAGAATTCCCCCAAAATAAGGGTGAAATTCAGTGTACAAGCAGGAATTCCACCTGGAGAATTCCCCCAAAATAAGGGTGAAATTCAGTGTACAAGCAGGAATTCCACCTGGAGAATTCCCCCAAAATAAGGGTGAAATTCAGTGTACAAGCAGGAATTCCACCTAGAGAATTCCCCCAAAATAAGGGTGAAATTCAGTGTACAAGCAGGAATTCTGCCTGTAGATCTCCCCAAAATAAGGGTGAAATTCACTGTACAGGCAGGAATTCCACCTAGAGAATTCCCCACAAAAAATGGGTGAAATTCACTGTACAAGCAGGAATTCCACCTGGAGAATTCCCCCAAAATAAGGGTGAAATTCAGTGTACAAGCAGGAATTCCACCTGGAGAATTCCCCCCAAAATAAGGGTGAAATTCAGTGTACAAGCAGGAATTCTGCCTGCAGAGCTCAGCACCTTCTGAGACCCCAAGTTTTTAATTCAAAGGGGAAAATAAACTTTTCCTGTTGGCAGCCAGGCTCCAGCAGGAGCCTCCTCGCTGGGATCCACCAAGGTGCAGCCACACCTGGGAGAACAAAACCAAAACCAGAGCAGAATTTGCCCC